TTATTTAATAATATCAAAAACTGCACACTTGTTACATAAAACTGAAATTAAGAGAAGCTCTACTGCAGGCAAGATACTGGAAAACGTTGGACAGGATATTTTTGTGGTGTTTACCTCTTGGATAGGAGCCAGCTGCTGGGTGAAGCCTCTCTAGTTATATAACATACATGTAGTCATATTCTATGCTCATCTCTCTATAGGCTATATTAAATCTGTACATATTTTTTGCAACCAAATATTAGAAAATTTAAAATTTTAAATTTGTAGTTTATATGTGTTAAGAAATACTTAAGAATAAAATTTGCACGTCAATTATTTATTAATTTATTTAAAATTGTGTAAACATACGGTTGGGGATAATTTATTTTAATAGTATTCCTCCAGCTGTTTTTGTCAAATCCTCAACTGTACAAAAAGCATTTAGAAATTTCGTTAATAAAGCATAGTCAAATACTAATGTAGTCTATTATCCAATGCATCAATCTTTATATGGAGACCACACATTATTTCTTATATTTTTTTCATATCCTTAATAGCATAAATGAAATATTTATCTCATTTCACTAAGTTATGTTTTTCTTTTTGTGATTTCATAGTTTATATTGTAAAATATCTTGTTTTGAAGATATTGCAAATGATGACGAAATATTGCTCTGAAGAAAGTGATCGAAGTAGAAAATTATAAAGCGTCGGCTGACAAGTAAAACTCACTAAGTGCAATTTTGAAAGAACAGAGATATTCAAGTTTTAAAGCATATTTTATTGTAAAAAATCCATTTTTGAGCCAATTTTATAACAGATTATAACAGAAAATACCTTCTGTTTTTACCTTCTGTTATAAAATTGGCTCAAAAATGGATTTTTTACAATAAAATATGCTTTAAAACTTGAATATCTCTGTTCTTTCAAAATTGCACTTGGTGAGTTTTACTTGTCAGCCGACGAAAGTTAAACTATAATTATGAGCCCGGTTCTGTAAATTGTACTCGTTTGAAGTGTGTAGTTTAGCTCTAAGAATAAACTCAAAATTTTGGGTGGTCTCGACTCACTCGACTGTAATTTGCATACAACAAATTGTCCAAAGTGTAGTTAACAAGGATTTTAATGGAAGTGAGTAAAAAATCTTTCTTAGAATATATTAGTAAATTAGGAATTTAGTATTTTCAATCACCATAAGCATTAAGGTCAAAGACTCTGAGAATTTGATTCGGGCGGTAAGACGGGCGCTTAACGGGTGATAAGAGCGATACACAATTGTCAACAAAAAGAAAATATCTGTTATTCAAGTTTCCGTAGTACATAAAATACTTAAAAAGAGGCGGATCTACAACTGAGCACATTTTTACGATAAAACAAGTATGCACAACTCTATGAACAAAATCTAGGTTTGCTTCAGTGTTCTGTTTATAACCTTTTTTAAGCACGACTCAATTGACAGAGAAAAACTATCCTAAGCGATGGATCTATTAAAAATATCTACCAAAATTATAAGGTTAGTGAAAATGACTTCAAAAGAAATATTAAATAAAGTGATCCTGGAAGGAAGGAAGGTTATCGGATACTTTCACGGTAAGGAAGGGATTAGGACAAGTAGATCCACTGTCCATAACATTATTTAACCTTATCTTAGACGCTATTCTACGACAAAGTGCTCTAGGGACAGATGATATAATATATGAATATGAGCTGAAAAATAGAGCCCGAAGATAATATACGACTAAATAGCGGAAGTGGGGAATATTGCTTTGAAAAAGTGGATCAATTCAAACACCTCAGAGTGACGATTACATTTAGCCAAAGAAGATGCCGAAATGGAAATATAGAAATACTAAACAAAATGATCAAATCTACGTTAATATTTAGGAATACAAAAATCACTATTTACAAAACGATTGTATAACCTTCGCATTTGTATAAGTGAAACTTGGCTGTTAATTTCAGGAAAATACCCCGAAATTATACCGATGGGAAAGAACGATATTACGCAAGACATAAGGAGGAGCAAGAGTAAAGGACAGTAACGGCATATGGAAAAGAAGAATAAATAATGAAGTAATGGAGCTCTACAATATTAACCAAGCATAATACAAAAATTAAAAGCACAAAAATTACGTTGGATGGGACAATCACAAACAAATATACAAGAAAAGTAGCACTTAAAAAAAACAGAAGAAGATTACCAAAGAATTTGTTAGCAGAGGTTAAAACCATAAAACCGATGTAAGAAAACTAACAATATGGAAGGGAAGGAAAAGACGAAATACAGAAAGTAGGGGGAAAGTAGTGAAGAAAATAGAAGCCATGGGCCTCCAAGCTTAAAAAAGTAAAAGTCTAACCAATATATCTATCCCAAAGCAGGGATGAATAAGGGATAGATTGTGTACGCACCAAATTAGATTCATCATAGCTTAGATGATTAAACATCATGAGTTATTGTACAATGTTTTTCTCGAAATATACTGGTTATATAAAGACCTTAATCGGTCATTGTTACCATTTACTAATCCTGGCAAAATACGCAAAAGAAAAAAGTTTACTTACAAATTTTTTAAAAATAGAAGCATGGGGTATAAACTCAGTTAAATAAACAATCATCGACTAACTTGACTCCGAAGTAGAGCTATTCACAAAATAGATCCAAGAAGCAGTATGGAATAATAGCACCAACCGTCCTGACCCGAATAGAAGAAAAAAATTACCCAAAATAAATAAGAGATATAATTTCAGAAAATAGGAAGCTAAGACGAAGGTGGCTACAAAGTAGATACTCACTTCATAAAACAACACCAAACGATGTAATGCAAAAACTCGACGAAAAGAAAACAAAAAGTAAAATTGAATCAATTGGGGTTAGCTCAGCAATTTGAAGTATGACAAAAGCACTTATTCGTTATGGAAGGGTACTAATAAACTAAAAACAGATCATGCACAATCCTTCAATAAGAACTTCAGATGGTAGCTGGGCCAAAAACAATGAAAAAAAAGCTAAACGTTTTTTCAGGACCCATAAAAACATATTCCAACCAAACAAGGGAGATGTCCTTGAGGAATTGACTCAAATTTACAAAGTCCCAATGGAAATTAAATTTGTCCTTCCTAAAGAAGTCCTTCTTCTTCAAGTTCCACTCCTATCAGAGATTGGAAATCATTCTGTCAATTATAATTTTATTGGTTACTCGCCTCTTTAGTTAAATTGAACTGCATCCAAATCATTCACGGAGATTGCGTAGCCACGAGATTTTACGTCTTCCTACGCTTCTTCTGCCTTTGATTTTACCCTGCATTATATTCCTTAGTAGTTCGTACTTTTCACCTCTCATGATGTGCCCAAGCATTCCAATTTCCTGATTTTTATGGAATTTAAAACTTCGCATTGTTTTGCTAGTTGTTCGAGAACTTGTTCGTTTGTTTTGCGATCCATCCATGATATTAAAGAAGTCCAAAAGGAGATAAATGAAAATATTAATTCTGTAATATTGATCCGGTAACAGGACAACAGCTTCCAAAATCTTTTATGAAAATTATTTACTTAATAAATACATCATTCAGACTTAAGCCTATGTCGATTTACTGGAAAGTTGCAAAGTTTATAATGATATCAAAACTAGGTAAACCTCCTAATGAAATTTCATTATACAAACCTACATCTATTTTGCTTCTACTATCGAAACTTTTTAAAAAACTATTGCTAAAAAGCTTAAAACTAATAATAGACGAAAGAAACGTCATACCACTTCATCAGTTTGATTTTATGAAACGGCATTTGACCTTGAATTAAATAATTAATATAATAGAAAAAGCTCTGGAAGGAAAGAAAGAAAGTTTAGCAGCTGTTTTTTAGATGCAGCTTAAGCGTTCGATAAAATATCGCATAAGGGCCTCATTCACAAAGCCACAAGAGTAATACCAAATTAATACTCTCAATTATTGGAATGTATCATCTCCTTCTTCTTCTTCATCGTTCTTCAGATTTAAGCCGGAAGAGGCCTATTTTGACCAAGATAAAGCTGCAAGATAACTGCAGATCTCAGGGAATAAAATTAAACCAGCAAATAAGGGTACAAAATATCATTGATAGAATCGATCCTTGTTGCACATTCTGCAAAATTCATGGGGTTACATTTGGATAAGAAACTGTGTTGGAAAGTACACATTAGGTAAGAAGAAAAGAGAACTCACAATAAAATTTAAAAAGATAAACTGGAGGCTTGGAAGAACTTCTAAAGTATCCATTGATAACAAGCTACTAATTTAAAAACAAATACTAAGATCGATATGGCTCTACGACGCACAGCTCTGGACATGCACCAGTAAAAAAACTATAAAGAGATTAATACAGAGGTTTCAGAATAGGGTAATGAGGAGTCGCGTTGATTCTGAATGGTAAGTAAAAAACATATGCATCCATCGAGGTCTGAAGATAGAAACAATGGAACAAATAAATGCCAAATGTCCCAGCAGACATGAACAATGTTTACTTCAACATGTGAATATGTAAAAAAGGCTTAAGAGGACAAAACCCTGTAAATTTGTACGAGCTTAATATACCTATGTAAAGTGTAAATATTACTGTAAGTAAGTTACTGAATGAACCTATTATTATTAAAATGATAACTGAAAAATTTAGGTTAAAATAAAAAAAAAAACATTATTTACATCTTTCTCTAGTATTTATTGTTTCATTCGACGTCCTCATCAAATTCGGCTAATGTTATTTTAACGGTTGTATTTTCATACATTGCTTTCTGACCACTCTCTGTCAAATTCTTGCAAGCTTTATATTATCCCACCTTCTATAAGTCTTTCTTTTTAGTCTCATCTAACTGTTTTTATTCGATATACCTATTAAGTATATTTTTTTGAAACTTCTTCCACTATAACAGGGTTTTTCTTTAAAGGTTGAATATTTTATGTAAATATCCCGATGCAATGTTTAAAATAGTTACTACGATTACTCTTGGTTGCAAAAAATGTAATATTAAAAACTTAACAGTACTTACTTGTTGGGTAGCATTTTGTAGATTGAGCAGAGGTTCAGAAGATCTCTTCAAAAATAGTCGGAGTTTGTTTTCTCTTGGTGGAGGATCCTTCTTACGTTGTGGACTAGGGGCCTAAAAAAAGAATTCAATAAAAATCAAAAAAATAATAAAAAAAAAGAAAAACAACGAAATATGTAGTACCACAGAAAATAATATACATAATATTTTTAATATAGAAGTTAAAGACATAATATTGTTACGATGGTTCCGTAAGATCTATTCCATATAGAAAAGGTCTCTTGGCGCACAAGAAGAAAAACTAAAAACTAGAATTTTGTAGACATCGTTAAAATGTCTGAAAATGTATATAAACAGTTGTAGTAGTAATCGAAAGTTTGAAGTTCTCTCATTCAATTAGAGTTGTTAACAAATATTGTAATATTGTTTGCTGTTTTAAATAAAAGTGATTAAAAAAAAGTGTAAAATGTCTGAGAGCGATGGGATAAAAGAGATATTAGGTAAATTGTAATGGTTAAAACAAGATCTACCGAATCTGATAAAAAAATTGATACGTATGGACACCACGCATCGTTTTTAAAAATAAAAATAAAAAAGGAGAAGAGGAAAGGTGAAGAAGAAGCGTAGACAAGAAGAGGAAGAGAAAAAAGAGGAAAGACGTAAAAAAGTAGAGAGGGAAATCATAAATGGTTTATCAAATTCACGAAAATTTTAAATTAGAGGTAAGCCGAATTAATATTAGAATAGACAAATTAGAAGAACAACAGAACAATATAAAAACCGATTTAAAAACAAAACAGACAAATAACAAAACTATTTATAAAATTAATTAGAACAACAACAAAACTATTTGAAATATAATTTAAAAAGACAAATAGTTGAGTTAGAATGGAAAATTAGTATATAAAAGTCCGTATCTAATATTGTTTCAGTAACTAATGTCTAATCTGAGCAAACATTCCCATCATTTTCTATAGTTAAACCAGACACAATTAAAACCAGCAAGATTTTAAAACCAGCCACCTTCGATTGTCAAACAATAAGGAAAACTAATCGTTTTTAATTCGAAGCTGCATCTGGAGTAAAGTGGCTGGACTAAAAAAGAAATGGCAGGTTCTTTGGTATTGTCGTTTCGAGGACAGGCAGCAACCGTCTTTCTTTCCCAGGATGCACCTAGTTATACCTCGCTCGTTTAAGTTTTAAAGGCAAATATATGGCCAGCCTCGTCTAAAGCTGGTTTCCACAGTCAGTTGAATGTTTGATATTAAAAACATAACAAAGCCTGACAGAATTTGAAGCTGTTAATAAAATATTATCGAATTTGGTGTACCTTCAGACACCTCAAGATTTTCTAAAATAAATTGGTATATAGGCATTCTTATTGATGAATTACAGGATGTTCAAAAAGGGCCGAAAATTATTTCCAAATCGCGCTCAAAAACATAAGATTTCGAGAAAATGAAATTACTACTGCAGATTACCAACCTGTTTTATGCCAAATTCTAAGCATACTGAAAAAACTTTAACTGAAAACTCAATAAAACCAGAAGATGTTTTAATTGCGAAACAATAGGACATTTACAAAATAATTGCAGAAGCCGATCCCAGACAAGGAATAAAAAATCAAAGAATGGGTCAGAAGGTCTAATAAATTGACACCCAGAAGTCCGTTACAAAGTCCGACTAAAAATTATACCAAATATAGGTCTCTAAAAAATCGATCTCCCACAACTAACTATATATATTCAAACAATGCCGATATTCTTTCTAGGCGACTTTGAAACAAGAATGCCAGGCTGTAAACGACTCGAATAAAAAGAGAATGTAACGGAAGAAGTAAGTCTTCAGATGACCACAGTTCAACAGAAATAAGATAATAACCAAACATTTATAAAAGGCGGTAAAAAGATAATGACTTAAAAATCATACGAAAATGGCTTAAAAATGGAGTAACACCTATTGGGCAGGAAACCAAATATAGTGAAATTATTAAAGCGTATTGGGTTAAATGGGAATCTCTGATGGAGTACGTACAGTTTAACAATCGGTATTGCCAAAATCACACATTAAAAGTGAGTTACAAGAACTTCATAGCAATCTTTTTGGAGGACATTTTGGAGTCAAAGAAATATTGAGCTAGAGTTTGGGACATATTTTACAGTGTCAATTGTCGCTAAAATGTAGAAAATTGGTACAAAAAATGCGATTTATTTAAGGTAAAAACGATCCTAGATCAAAAAGTTATAATAAAATGGCGCGATATCTTTCCAAAGAGCCTTTTGGACGACTTGCAGTAAATATTCTCGGTTACTTCCTCTGGCAGAAAGAGAAAGCAAGTACTTAATAGTCGCAATAAATTATTTTTCAAAATATCCAGAAATTTCACGCCTTCCAATTCAAGAAGCGACAACAGTAGCAGACGCATTTTTATACTTCATATCAAAACATGAAATCCCTTTAGAGTTACATTTTGATCAAGGACGATCAGAATTATGGCAAGAATTAATGAAAACCTTGAGTATTAATCAATAACGCACTCCTCATCTCCATTCGTAATCAGGCTGAATAGTCGCTCCCAACGATGGTGGTCGGATGGTGGAAGATTAAGTGCTGCATCCAGGATGATGATGATCAACGTTTTAACCTTGTTTAGGCTCTGTGCCTCTTCAAGGGTGATATTTATTGTTGGAAAAATTGAAATCTGCATGTTGCCGCTTTCCAGGACAAGTGGAGGCTGTAAAGCAGAAGTGTCAGAAGAATGCCACTGCCACTAAGTACAAGTTCCATTGGGAAAAGCCGTTCTTTTCAGATTATTGGATTTTTTGTTAAATTCGGTTTAAATGCGTGGAGGAAAGCTGTGGCTGTGTCCTCGCCTAGGATTAGGTATCGTTTGCAATAAGATGATTGAGAAACCACAGAAAACTGACCCTGTTCTTGTAATTCTGAATGCGACTCTTAAGGAGTGTACAGGGTGCTCACTGTTTGGTGTTTGATGTGTGGATGTGCAAATTTGTGTAGTTATTGGTTGTGTGTTGTCGGCATGTTTCTTTTTGGTGTTTATATATTTATGATTTGTGAGCTTGGTGGTTTCCAACCTCCGATAGGAGAAGGAACCTGAAGAAAAAGAAGAGCTTGGTGGAGGTAAAGTGTGTGTATGATAAATGAAAAGTATATGTATGAATAATGAATGTGTGTTGGTAAATGATGAGTGTATATATGAATAGTGAATGTGTGTGCTATGTCATGTATTTATGTGCAGAGTTGGGTAAAAGTTTGGTTTATGGAATTATTGTATCAGGAGCTTAATATGGCGTACCCATACAATGTAGATCTTGGAACCTCGCATTTCAATCATTCTCCCTCAATTTTATTACCGTTCGAGATTGCATCGGCGAATTTAGTTTCAGAGTTTATGAAAACTCTAATGAAAGAGATCAGTTGGTTTGTAGAACGGACAATTATACGAACTATTTTGGTGAATGGGAATTTGTTTTCGGATAGAGTATCCTCGATGATATTTTGGGATAATTTTTTGTCGACGTCGGCAATGACTAGATAAAAGATCGTTTGGAATGGGATGCGGATTAGGGAGTTTTTGGATTTGAATCATGAATTTATTGAGATAATGCTAACTCCGGTGATTTGTCAAAGTTTTGTCGTGAGATCTCTGAAGTCTAGAAGTTTGGTACTTGTATGTAAGCTTCCTTGTGGGTTGGGATCCAAGTTGACTGCATCCATCACACCAAGCGATATATATTAATTTAGCCTCCTAACTTGTTCACGATTTTCTCTGATGAGCTCTACACAGTGCTTAAACCTATCCAATATATCAATTCAAATACAATTTCAAATTGAGTTATTATAAGTGACCCATTAAGTGACATTCAAACCGTAAAATAGATCTATGTATTTCAAACACACCCTTCAGAAAATTTGAACTTATACAGGCTCAATAAGATTCTAGACAAATCAACTTTATATGAATACCATCCAACATTAGCATCGAAAGCTATGAAAGAGCTGGACACCCTACAGTAAAATTACTGTATGTGCCGGTATAAAACATCAGAGTGTCGAAATACCGTGAGTTATGTTAAATGGTATATTAAGAATAAAGTTTTGTGCAAGTGGAAAAAGGAATGGCAATCTACTCAAAGATTAAGCCAAATTAGAAATACCGTTACAGCTTGTAGACCTTGAAATCGAAACAAATGAGAACAATCGGTTCTGATGTCGTAACAACATAGTTACGACTCGATAACTAGACTTACTTATATTTATTTTCTAAAAGTAATCCACCTATATGTGAAACATGTAGTCTACATGCTATTGTCATGCATTTTTTATTTGTATAGGTATCCTTGTTTTGTTAATAAACCTTATCGCATTTAACATTTTTTTTTTATTTACAAAATTGCTTCAACCACTAGGGGTTATTAGCATGGTACAATAAATTACATAAATGTTAATATGTTACTCTATATTTTGTGAAATAGTCCTGTATTTTGTAAAAAGTTTATAGTTTTATCATTATTGAAGCCGTTTAAGCACTCTTTTGATGACGTGGGTAATCCAGCTTGAAGTCGTTCTAGGGTGTACAAAGGGCAGTCCACTAGCACATGGTCCGCTGAAATTACACAATCACAACTGTAGCACATGGGAATTTGTTCATTACTTAGAAGGTAATCGTGAGTTAACTTCGTATGGCCTATACGTAATCTAGAGATGCACACTTGGTCTCGTCGCTTGAATGGGAATTTGTATATAGCTACCTCTTGCTTAATGTTTTTCATGGATGTCTCTGAATTGTTCCAGTGTAGTTGCCATTCCTCGCTTATTTTGTTTCTAATATATTGCTTCAGGTCGCTATGAACGCATTTAGTGAATAATGTTGATTGTGGATTTTCTGCTGCTTCCCTGGCCAACTGATCAGCTTACTCGTTTCCAGTTATACCACAGTGTGATGGAACCCAAAGGAATTTAACGAATCTGTTGTTTTCTTGACATCTCATTAGTTCTGACTTTATAAGCAATAGAATGGGATGGTTTGTGTATAACTGTTTCATAGAGCTGAGAGCACTTAAAAAGTCAGTTATTATCAAAGGGTTTTTTATGTTTTTATTATTCACAAATGTTATTGCTTGCAAAATAGCAAGAAGTTCTGCGGAAAATATGGTTGATCGTGGGGAAAGTGAGAAGGAGTAGTCTTAGTGTAGAGTTATAAAAGAAGCCCCTACCCCATTGTCAGATTTAGATGCGTCTGTAAAAATGAGGAAGTTATGAGGGCAGTTTAATTTCTCTACTGCTTTCTTTTTAAATATACTACGTGGTGTGTCATATTTGTTATTGATAGTAAGACTTGTATCGCAAATAGGCAGCTGTATTCTCCAAGGAGGTTGATGATTAAGGTTAGTTACATTGTATGTCTCAGGAAAATGTATGTTTAAACTATTTTGTAATTTTTGGATCCGGATATAAAACGGGGGACTTAATCTTTGTGATGTGTTAAATGTCGATGTGAATCTGTCAGCAAACGTGTTTTTAAATGTCGGTATATGTGGATTGGCTGATAATTTAGCTGCGTACATAAGGCTGAGGTAGTTTCTTCTTCGTTGAAGGGAAGGTTCTCCTGATTCACAATATAAAGTTTCAATTGGGCTAGTATGATGAAATCCCAGTGCTATTCTTATTGCTGTATTATGTATTGGGTCTAGAAATTTAAGTATTGATGCTTTGGCTGAGTTATAAGCAACTGAGCCATAATCTAGTTTAGAACGAATTAGAGTTCTGTAGACAGTTATGAGTGTTTGGTTATCAGCTCCCCATTGTTTGTGAGATATGCTTTTCAATAAATTTAGACCATTTTGAGTTGTTTGTCGAAGATGAAAAATATGATCTTTCCAAATTAACCTATGATCTAGTTTCATTCCTAAGAAGGTAGTTGATTCAACATAAGTAATATGTAACGAATATACGGTGAGATTAGGTGGTAGTATAATATTTTTTGGGCTCTTGCTAAAGAAAATTGCTTTTGTTTTATTTGGAGATATCTGTAGCCCACATCTGTCGGACCAATTTTCTAGTTGATTGATAGCGGCTTGTATATATCTGGTAAGTGTTAGAACATTTTTCCCTCGAGAAAATATGACGAGATCATCAGCATATAATCGTGCTTTTACTAATGAACCAAAGGATTTAGAGATATCATTAATCGCAATAAGGAACAATACTACGCTTAGTGTAGATCCTTGTGGGATACCATTAATTTGCATTGTTGGCTCTGAACAAACATTATCTTCACGAATTTTAAACTCACGAAATATTAGAAAATTTTTTATAAACTTAAGAATGTTACCTTTGATTGACCATCTGGATAAGTTTTGTTATATGTCGGATCTCCAAATTGTATCATACGCATGGGTTATATCAAGGAAAACTGCTAAACACTCTTGATTGCATCCAAATGCTTCGTGAATTTCGGATTCTATATTAACTAGATTATCTAAAGTAGACCTTGATTTCCAGAAACCACTTTGAATTAGGTAATTTTGAAAGGGGTAAGAAGTTGTTTGTCTTCTAGGTACCACAGTAGTCGATTGCTTACTATTTTTTCCAGAATTTTACATATAGAACATGTTAGCGAGATCGGTCGATAAGACTCCGGGTCTGATTTTCTTCTTCCCTGCTTAAGAACTGGAATAATAATTGACTGGTGCCAACTGTCAGGAAACACATTTTTTGTCCAGATAAAATTGTAAATTTTTAGAAGGTATTGTTTACCTTCTTCGGGTAATGATTTTAAAAAGGTAACTGGAATGTTATCAGGTCCAGGACTGGTATCTTTTGTATTGTTTAATGAATATAGTAACTCGTCCATTGAGAGTTCGACATTAAGAGGAGAATTAGTATGATCTTCTAAATCTATATAAGTGTTCTCTAGATTTTGTTTGTGTATTATGGAATTTGTAGAGATAATGTCATTGCTGGAGTGTCTTTGATATGTATTAGCAAGTATAGCAGCTATTTGTTCTTTCGTCAAGCAAGTAAGATTGTTATGTTCTAGATAATGGATTGTATTGAAGGACTTTTTTCCATTCATTTTATTAATCATTTGCCAAACTTCGGAAATAGGAGTAGATGAATTTAAGGACGAGACATACGCTTTTCATGCTTCTTTTCTGCTTTTCTTCAATATATATCTAAAGTAGGCTCTCTTTTGCTTAAATTCGAGTTGGTTTTGGAGTGTGGGGAATTTTTTAAATTTGTAAAAAGTTCTTTTTGACTCTCTGATTGCCACATTACATTCCTGGTTCCACCAAGGGACTGGAGGATGTTTTTTTGGGAAATTTATAAAGCCTACGGACAATTCTGCAGCTGTTGTTATAAGCTGAATAAAACTGGAAACAATATAATTAATATTTGAACGGTCATCACTAGGAGGAGTTAGCTCTGATATGGATCAAGTTATTAAAGAAGAATATAAAGACCAGTCGGCATTCTTTAGATGCTATTTATTAGAAGGAGCGGAAGAGGGAGCTGTATTGTTATTCGTTATTAATATTGGAAAGTGGTCACTTCCATGTAGATGAGATGTGAGTTGCCAAGACAGTCCAGGTTGTAAAACTGGGTCACATAAAGTTAGATCAATTGCCGAACCGCCACCTGTAGAAACATTAAATCTGGTAAAACTACCATCATTAAGTAAGTTGAGATTAAGGTTAGTTATAATTTGTTCGATTTTACGCCCAAAACTATCAGATTTATTTGATCCCCATAGAACATGATGTGCATTGAAGTCACCTAAAATAATTCGTGGTTGAGGAATTTGATTAAAAAGGTCTAATAACTCGCGAGCTGAAGGATCAGTACCAGGAGGAATGTATATATTGCAAATATTTATTTTTTGAGGTCCTTTCAAAGCTATTGCTGTAGCCTCTAATTGTGTATTTAAATCAATTATTTCTTAATCATATTGGTTATGTACATAAATAGCTGTCCCTCCACTAGCCTGGTTTGCATTAAATCTATTTTTAATATATGGTGTGTAGTTTTTTAGTTTGTAAAATTTCTGCTGTTTAAAATGTGTCTCTTGTAGACATATTATGGACGGTATGAATTTGGACATTAGTAATTTAAATTCTTCTAGACGGGTGTAAAACCCGTTCAGATTCCACTGAATTATGGAGTTGAATTTTTAATTAATAGCCGTATCGCTGCAATCTGTAGAGGAATAGTCATCCAGTAGTTTACAAAGTTTCTTCCTTAGTCTTGTACATCGTGTTTTCAAGTATCTTTGTGATAGCACTGGATGAAGTTTTTTTAGGAGATCTATTAACCCTTCGATATCTTCCGTGTATGTTTTAGCTATACTAAGCGGATCTGCAGCTCCATGGGTGTTTTCAAATAAATCTATTATCTCTTCTTGACTTAAACAGCTACTGTTTGACTTATTTTGAAAAAAATTAACTGTACAGTTAGTAATATCTTCAGCTATGTTGTGGTGGGTTTGGACATCCGTTTTTGTTCTTTTGTGTTTTGTATTGGGGTCTTTAAAAGGATTTACACCCTCCGGTTCAGGAGAATTTGTTATATCAGAAGCATTTCTTTTAGGTGTTTGAGCTTCTGTTTGAGTTTCATTTATAGTTCTATTTATTTTACCAGGTTCAGAAGCATTTGTTTCGGGTATTTGTACTTTTGTTTGAGTTTCTATTAGAGTTTCATTTATTTTACCCGATACTGCCTCCATTGGTTGGGAGTTATCGAAAAAGGTAGAGTTTATTGGTGTGGGTGAAGTGATGGTTTCAGTAGGTTGTGGATTACTAATTTGTTTGGTAAGTACGGGATAATGTACTGTAGATTGAGTTGTATTTTGTTGTGAACTAACAGTCTGGTTACATTGTGATTGAGAAATGTGTGTTATATTGTCATCAGTGGATTGATTATTATGATTTGGGCATCGAGATGCTAAATGATTAGTTTGTTTACAAATAAAGCACGTTTGTTTTTCTAGTGAGAGAAATATTCGATAGTTCGATTGATCATGGTTAATTAGTATTGAATCGGGGATATTTTCAAGATTTGTAGGGGCTATATAAGTAAAACGTCGAAAACTAATGATATGCCTAAAACTAGGATTTGATGTTCCGATCCGTAAAAAATCTATTGGTGTTTTTTTTTTGATGGATTCCTATCTTTTTGAGTTCATGTTCTATTATGTTATGTGGTACAGAAGGAGATACATTAGAAATAATTAATTTTTCATTTGGAGTAATTAGTTTTCTAGCTTGAATACGATATTGGTTTACTGTTATTATCCCATTATCCGTTTCCAAAAATTTTTGAACAATATTTTCCGAAGTGAAGTAGATGCATATACGATCATTAACAATTCTGGATATTGCAAGTATATTTTTGGGGTCCACTAAGTTGGCTACAGCATTCAGGTAATCCTCGATTTTTTAATTTGGAACTGTATTTACTACAATTGCTTGTTTTTTGGAAGGGAATATGTTGGTAGGTTCATTTAAAACTGTTGAATATAACTTTGGTGTAGTAGTATCATTTTTGGGGATTTCTTGTTGTGAAAAAACATTTGATGATGAAGCTTGTTTCATATTGATCTACGGAACCTGAGTACGGTCCTGGAACCAATACGAAATCATTGATAATAACTTGATGTAATTAGATAAATTAAATTACTTACAGTTAATGTCAACAGTATCAACAATAAATAATTATTTGTTAATAATTTACACTTTATTACACTTTTAGCTTTCAATGTTTTTAAACAAAACCACAAAAACTAGGTGCGATTAAGGTAATTAGGTGTTGCTTCGTTGAATGCTCGAAGTCGAATATCCGCATTTAACATTCCTAGTAGCATAAACAATTTCTTGGACTCAAATTTTCCGACTGACAATATTGTAAATTTTTTTAAATCTACAGAAAAATTTTACAAAATATTAGCTATATATTTAGTTTTGTGTACTGTAATCACTGCTAATAATTATTATGGTAGATACGGCTGTTATTCTAAATAAAAAAAAACATTTACTTGGTATAGCATTTTGTGGAAGACTCGGGATCTGGCAGCGAGGACAGCTTTCACAGCACAAACGGGTTCCCGGGTATCTCCGACGAGGAAGGTGACGTCACAAAGTTCCGGCATGGACGCCAGGAACTTCATGTCTTCGGCTAGACCTGTTTTATTTTCAAAGGTGCTGAGGTCGGGTTCGGCTTCCGCCATTACTATGTAGTTTATAGGTATAAGAAGGTTGTCCGGCATCTAAAATAAATTAAGTTATTGGAGAGTTCTATAAAATTAAATAAAAAATGGTAATATAAAATAGATTTCAAGAAAAACACTACAAAAATTCCAATACCGTGGAGGTATAAACTTTGCCTTCCTATTAACTCCTTCAATGCTGAGAAATAATTGTCGTCACATTCCAAAGCAATTTTTCCAAATTAAAAATCAAACAGTAGACTAGGATCATATTGAAGTCGACTAAAACTAATTAATGATCTTCAGTTACATAGTTATAATTAATGGATTCGACCTGAACTGAGTTTATAAGTCTAATTTATTATCTTTATTTATATCACATATACATTAGATGAGACAGATTGCTTTTACTGATGCGTTGCATTCATTTTTGTCATAATGATCAGTGTAATAAAGATGATTAGTTCTTTAAGATAGGTGAAGCTTTAAAACTATTGAACAAATATTTTCAAGCTGCATTAACTCCAAGACGGATTTTGGTAGTCGATGAAAGTCCTTGTCAAGGAAAACTGCAAATATAGCAATATCTGCCAAATAAAACACACCCGTTTGGAACTCAATTATATAAGTAATGTACAGTGGATGAATGTACTCACAACATAATCGTTTATCGTGGTAAACATACAACTACTAATGCAAATAATTCCCAGAGTGAGCAGATATTGTATGATCTTCTTGAACATGTTGAATTAGAAAAGGGCTATCATCGCTACTTCTATGCTGATAATTATTACTCGAGTTTACCTTTAACCAAATTATTATTTAAAAAACAAAAAATTTATTATGGAACCCTGAGGTCCAACAGAAGAGGTATTCCCAAAACGGTACCTAAAAAATGAAAAGGGAAGAAATTTGGGGTATTTAGAACAATTCCTTAGGTATTATAAAATTGATGGACAAACGGCCAGTTCTGATGTTAAGTACTGATTCAACCCTTACAAATACCTTAGAGCCAACAGGAAAGCGAAACTGGTAACATGAGCTTGTATTGAAAGCAAAGGCAATTATTGATTGCAATCAAGCAAAAAAAGGAGTAGACTTTAGTGATCGGATGAGTTCTTATCATTCCTTTTTAAGAAAAAGTTTAAAATGGAACCGTAAACTATCATTTGAATTTTTACTTGGAACAGCTATTATAAATGAGTGGATTGTTAATAACAAGATTAGTTTAAAATTAATGGGACAATCACAGTAGTTGGCTGTATACCATAATTAAAAAACTTATACCGAAGAAAAAACTTCAAATTTGTATATTGGTATAAAAATTCTTTTATTAAAACTTGTTAAAAGTGTCGTCCAAAAATTAGAAATGCATAACGTATTCAATCTGAATCAGATCATCCTCAGTGCATTCTGTTAGTACATGTAGCTAGCACAAAAATGAAGTTGTGACATCAATATATGGTTTACATATTATGATATTAAAAAAATTTTGCGATGCAAAGTAGATGACATTGGATGTAAATTTTATTACTTAAAAAGCAGCATGGTTCCTTGCTTGACTGGAACACGTGACGTGATTCTTGTCAGTTCAAACGACATAGACCAACTTATTTATTCCACAAAATTATCTATGTTGGAATTTAGAAAAAGATTGGCACGGGAGTTACTTCTTACTTCAGTTGTGCACGAAGACACCACTACTTCCAAAAGAGTTCTACAACGTCAGGTGTACCACCAACTTCAGTACCAGATGCATGGTACTGAAAACGGAAAACTAATCGAGGAGCTAAAAGCCGATATTGTGATGAGGAAACCTATCGATGCATCAGCTACGAGATATAGCTTTAACAATAAATTTACAATTAAGATACCAGGCAGAGAAGACTGAAATAAAGGTGTACCCATAAAAGCTGCTGCTACCTGGTACACAAGTGGCTCAAAAACATCGGAGGGTGTGGGAGCCGGCATAGTAGGGACAAATCAAGGGATTAATTTCCCGGTAAGTATGTCTAAGGATGTGACAGTTTTACAGGCGCAAATAACTGCAATCCATCACTGTGTGGAAGAAATAGAAAGACGGGAAAGAACGTTCTGTTCAGTTGCCATCTTCACAGATAGTCAGGCAGCACTTAAGGCACTCAATTCTGTAGAGGTCAATTATTATAAGCTAGTATAGGATTACGTGTGTGCCCTCTTTCCCTGGGTACCTGGGCACGAGGGTCATAAGGGCAATGAAATAGCAGATAAAATGGTCAAACAAGTCTCATCAATGCAATTCATTGGACCGGAATCCTTCTGGGACGTTGCAAAGTCAGTGACAAGAACGGCTACAAGGAAGTGGGTAGCTCACAAATCTCTAGAATGGTGGAGGAATTCACCAGGACAAAGACAGGCGAAACCATGGCGAAACAGTTCATTACAGAACATTCGCCAAAATTTACGGCAGACCTAATAAGCAAAAACAGGAAAATAGTCAAAGCCATAGAAGGTCTCCGAACAGGGTACTGTAAGCTGAATAAGCACTTGAAGTTGATGGAATTATCAGATGATGACCTTTGCATTTTATGTCAGTGTGACAGTCTGGCAAATGTGCGGTTCTCTGCATTCGGAGAAGAAAATCCACCGGCAAAGAGCTACATGGAAGGTACAGTCTCAAAGCGACTAGACTTTATAAAAATAGATCTGAAAACGTCGCAGTTGAATAGACCGAAAGGCCACCTCTCTTGATCTATTCTAATCTAATCTATATATATATATATATATATATATATATATATATATATATATATATATATATATATATATATATATATACTCAGGTATACTCAGTGTAGGAACTCTAATCAGCTGAGCTGGATCCCCCACGAGGTGAAGCTGCAATAAAGTTTTTAAACATAGAATTACATTTAGTATCATTTTAATTGATTTGAATAAAAAGACAGTGAAAGTTTTTATTTGTTTTCCTTGTAATTTCAAATCTTCCAATAAATCCAACTGCAAGAAAAAAAACTACTTGGAGTCACATCACCATGATTATGACTGCTCATCCAAGTTGTCATATGTCATGATGTCAGTTCCATGTCACATTTTCGTTAAGGCCAGGAGCCATTCTCTCTCCTGATGCCAATCAATATGTAGCTTCGTCGTTTTTTTTTTAATTTTTAAACTGTTTGTTCTTGTGTCGTATTGTGTTAATCTATCATTGTTAATGTAAGTAAAGTAATCTAAGTAAGTAAAGTATTTTAATCTAAGTACGTCTAAAACGTTATATTACATAAAAAACTTTTATCAACCATTAACTTCGAGTTTTTCGAAGTTAATTAATTTTCTTCAGCTGAAAAAACGTTTCTAGGCTTATTTCAGATACCCCTAAAGATGTTCTAAGAGCGAAAGTACTTAGGCAAGATTTAATAAATAAACTGTGTTCGATATCTGCCTTTTATTTGAATAAAATTTATTAACAAATATAGATGTAGGAGGCATTGGAGGCAGTCTGCTTAAAAAACGTTTGGATTTTGCTAGGGATAAGTTAGCCCCAGAGAGTGAGTTTGGTTGAGTACTATGTTTATTGCTGCTTGCAAAATTTTGGAACTAGTAGATGCTGTACAGTATTATGCTGCATCCGCAGTATAATATTAAATCATCTGCATAAACTACATATTTGGTAGGAGAAGGTAAATTAAAACAAAGACTACTTATGACCAGGTTAATCAAAATAGGACCTAATACTGAACCTTGAGGAGTGAAATCGGTTTTAGTATAAACAGAAGAGAAAACACCATTTACAGAAACTTTAAAGGTCGTTTCAATGACCCGTTTGTGTCAATGACGCCAGCCGTTACTTCATATTTTTCATTTATTGACATGGCGATGTCATTCAAATTTGAATATGCATCAAGAAACACTTTTTAATATCATAAAATAAATAGTAGTTATTAGTAAACAAAAAAAAAGAAAATAAGCTTATATGTAACGCCAAAAATATACTCGCTATTTTTGGCGTCGAGTTCAATATTTTCACGAATGTACTAACTCCGTAGTATCTATCTATTATGAAGATCAAACGCTTTTAAATTACTGTGACGTACCGGTTATTTCGATAGTCATAAAGCAAATAAATATCCTTTGATTAAAAGGCTTATTTTTAATTGGATTAAATATTTACATGCATTTCATGTTTTGAAAGTTAACACATCTGAAAATTTCGCTCAAACTTTGAGTAACCAAAATAAAAATTCACATAAATTCTAGCATAAAAAACTGTTTACAGCTAGATTTTTTAGTAAAAAAATAAGCTAAAACTAGCATTTGTAACGTTTAAAAAAAGGTAAATATAACTTATTCAAATTAAGATAATCTTTTTAATTAAATAGTTATTATCTTAAAATTTTGTTTTATTTGTTACTTTGCTTAACCCAAAACGTTTTTTCCGTTTTGGGTTTAATGTGTCGTGGTTATTACTTAGTACTTAAAGCTTTTCCAACTTTCTCAAATTTTGCCAGTGCGCACCAAGTCTGTCATGTCTCTTGACTAATTTGGCTAGTGTAGTGGAGCTGACGGTAATGTGACTTGCCGATGCTCACTATAAAAATTTGAGCAATGTCCACTGATTGGAGTCCAGCTCACAAATCTAGAGTTAGAATCCAGCTCACGCACTATTGAAGGTCAACAAATCCTACCCTCACGTTCCTGAAGGCCCATTGACGCTTAGATAGATAAATTTAGAGAGGTGACCTTTTGGCTCATTCCATTGCGACCTTTTCAGATCTATTGTAGTCCTCTAGTCCTAGATAACATTCTTTAGCTTCATCCTTTTTAAAAAGTCTGATAACTTCGAGACTGTACCTTCTATGTAGTTATTTGCCTGTGGATTTTCTTATCCTACTGCAAAGAACCGCATATTTGCCAGACTGGTACACTGATATAGAATGTACTCTGCTGTTTCTTCTTCGAGATGACAGAATATACACAAGTCATCAACTGATAATCCCATCATTTTCAAGTGCCTATTCAGCTTACAGTGCCCTGTTAGAAGACCTACTATGGCTTTGACTGTT